CTCGTCGCCGGATCTATCGGAAACGTTCGACGTTCGAGATCCTTTCCGCTTCGTTCGCGAGCAGTCAAACGAGGACGAATCAACTTGAGCGAACGTGTGAAAAGGGTACCTACGAAATCCCGGAATTCTATTGTGAAATATTCGACAAAAATCTCGACGACGCGTTTACCGAGCATTTTGAAACGACGACGCATGTAGAGTTAAGCTCGTTATCGAGTCGTTACCGCGGCGAGATTCGCACGTGTTTACGTTGAAACGATGGTGCACGCTGCATTTACGGCTTCCTTTGCTGTAATAATCCTTGAGTACGTGTGTTGCGTTTGTTGCACTGTACAGATCTACCCCCACTGTACTTAACCCTTCGAAGGTAATCCGGTCGTTGACCACGCAAACGTAATTAAACTTTGTATAATATAGTAGAGATTATCAGATTTTTAAAACATTGTAAAACGGTAAAGAAATGCATTTAATTAGATAAAGAATTTTCATTGCGATTCAATTATCTAGGAATTCGTCGAAAGCGAGCAGTTCTTTAATTTCCCGGGACATCGTCGTTGAAATTTCCCGAGTGCGGAACTATCGATAGGCAACCCCTAATGGATCGTGATTTACACACGGATTCCAAGGTATTTGTGTCCCCGGCGCGGTTTATCCATCTGCGCTTTCACGTATCAGCGGATTTCCTTCCTTCCGTGCACGATGCCTCTGTTCATGGCGAAGCTATCGCTTTCCGACAGGAAACGCGACCGATATCGTGCGAATTTTTATTACCGATATCCATGAAATTGAGGGAGATATACAAACCGTACGATTTTTCGCGATATGTCAAAGACGTTATGGTAATTACTTGCTTCTAATAGCTAATTAGAAAAGGGTGAAAATAAAATGCAGCAATAGCAATTGTATTACTTCATTTAGTAAAAGCAGAAATTTGAAAAACAATCGGATATATCGCGAACATGAACACACGAACGCCTTTTACAATGAGAAATGTTAATATTATAATTAGAGTAATTGTTCATCAAGCCATTCTCATTTAACTCTGGCATGAAATTTAATGAACTGAATTATAGCGATTAACTAACTATAATTTTAATGTGATATACTAGAAGGAAAATGATGTTTTCTAAAATATGGCTAAAGAGTTATGTATGCAGGTTCAAACACGAAACCGAAGCGCATAAAACTTTTCTGTGGGCATGCAAACACGTTCAACCTCTAACGTCGCAAATGTAATACCGCCATCAACGTCCAAAACTAAACAAAAAACCTCGTAAACTCTGAAGCTGCAATATTACGAGTGAATTAATGTTTTGGAAGTTTAGAAAGCTTCATTTAATACCAAATGCTGTTAATTACCCTGTAGTTAATTACCTATAGTTAGCTTACTTATATTTTTGTCGAATAAATCATTGAGTATTTATAATACTAATTTACCAGCATTAATACTTACATATAATATTAACACTTCTTTTTCTATTACTAATTATTTAATTGTACAAAGTTTATGCCATCAAAGACAATCCCCTGATGACACTGTTGTGTTAAACGTCATCAAAGGGATTCCTAAAATGTACACCCTTTCCAAGAACCACTGACCGTTTCGCGTCTAATTTGGCCCCGGCAGTTCGTGTCGGGAAAATAGGTTAGATTTGAATAATAATTCTTTTACGTCCGGTTCACACTAGACCGTCGTGCACGGACATGCAAATTTTCAGTAACTGTTTCAGAATATGTGCCACCAGCCGCCTTGCGACTGGCTCGTAAACCTCGAATAAGCCACCGTCGACATGCCAGCGCGCCTATATAATATGTTAATGATACATCATTAGATCCGACCGCACGTAAACGATCTCGTAGAACACTTATCGGTATCCGTGGCTACGGTAAACGAGTCGTCGTAAAAGAAGAAAAGAAAGAAGATTTTCGACGAATAATAAAAACCACTTACAATATCGAACCTATACTACTGTCCATAGAACATCTTATCATGTTAATTATAAAATAATTTTTTCAGCAAGAGTTTATAATTTGCAAAGAACTTGTCAAATTGACGAACTTAATATCTGGACAATGGATATACCCACAAAGTTTTGATGGTGTAACCATGAATGAATATTGTAAACGCTGTAATCTCAACTTTTACAGCGGAAGTTTTATATTTAAACTACGACGAACAGTAACACAGTTATGCACCCCATGTTATTATCGGTAACATGTAATTTTGATGTAAGTTTAATTTATCTTTAGCCTCCTTTTTATTTTCATGTTCTAAGGCTATTCCCTTCAGATATTAATATTCCTCATTATATAAAAGTCTTTCGTTTAAAAATTATTTTTGCCCCGATTTGATATTTTTTCATAAATCTTCTTCTCAGCGATAAAAATTTATTTTCGATTACGTTCGAGTTTCGCGATACGTATCTGACCATAGCGCACTTAATTTTCAGGGCATCAAAAGGCATAGCTTTGAGGTGGTTTAGCAATGAACATCGCGTGCTCTCAAAGAAAATGCAAACATCGCGTTCGCCCCTTTTCATCGTTGGAAATTAATTAAAAATATTCCCCTCTATCCCGATGTTGCTCGTTCGACCCGATTTCCCCGCGAAAAAGTCTGCTGTATATTTTACAATTATGGGAGGAAATACGCACGAGATCTGACACGTGGAATTTTTATTCAACGCCGAAAAAGCGTTGGTTCGTTCGCGTGGAGTTGTAAAAATTTCAGCTTCTGTACCGCGTTGCTAACTTCTCCATTACGAATAAAAACGCTGTTGTTGGTTCGCCCGACAATGGAGCCTTTTATTGCTCCGCGATCCACAGTTTGCCAATCACGGTCAGTTTGCCAATATCGGTATCGTGTCTGAGGGACTCCCTTTGTCGAAACGTTCATACGACTTTTCAACGTATTTGTTCAACTTTGAACAAAATACTTGGATTTTTATTTCGTACACTTTTTGTATTACAAATGTACACAGATAAGTTTGCAGAAGAATAAATCGTCTATAAACATCGGTCAAAACGTAAGATTTTAATATTCTGTTATAATCTTATAAACTTTAGGAATTTTCTTGGTCTTTTCATCTCGGACAACTCTCCCAGAAGTTAGGTCAACAGAGTATCAAATGTTCCAAGCAAAGAATGTCAGTTATGTGCGTTAATTCGGTCGTATCAGACGTATACTCAAGATCGGTTGCATACATGCGTCGGAGAAGATAGCACCAGACGTTATGAGACGATTTCCTTGCCAGGAATTTTCCTCGGGACAGTCGACGGATATACATACATTTCTCACGAATTCTCTGTTTGCGAGCCTTAGACATGGTGTTTCGCGAATTTGATGCGACATGCGCGATACGCAACATAGCTGTGCATACATTCATCCGAGGTAGAATGCCCGCGTCAACGTACACGCGAAAATACCTGGTACGCGTTTAATATAGCATGCGATATTATTACGATGGTATTTAGTAATCGAACCTTCCACGACATAGAACCGTCCGTATTTGCAATTCGAGCAATGAAACCCGTTCAGAGAATCGGGCCAATAACGACCGATGCTTGATCACGTATAATTGATCCCTAATAACAATGAACGACAATTAATCGCGAACCATTACCTTCGATGAATCCTTACAACTGCCGTTGTGACTGTCCGGAATCCCTTTCATGATGAAATCGTATGTGAAATTGTGCGTTTGACGTTTGGAAATTCCATTTCAATAGACTTTCAATCGTACGCTTATATGTAGAACTATCGAACAGTTAATTAATCATGAATTAGAACGGAGAGGAATTATAGAGCGATATCAATGAATAACGAAAACACGATGTGTGCAGCAAGTAAGAATGTCTTTTATAATCGGCTATCGGGATGAAATTCAAGCGGAAAAATACCAACTGCCGTGTATGTATCGAGCGAAACGTACACGCGTAGTTGCATCGCGACACGGAGACGAATTTGTCACGAGAGACGAATTAATGAGACGATTATTGGAAGCGACGAATTTCAACCGCTAGCCTGACCCGGCAATAACACGTCACGACCAACTATTTTATCGCGGGTTAACCGTGATGCGGTGAAACGCCATAATAGTTTCATTAAAACGGTCGGAGTCGATGAGTTTGCGGCCCATTATTGGTTTTTACGAGCGGAGAAAAATAGTTTGGAAACCGTGGAAATTCGCGGCTCGTGGCGACCTTATGGTGAACTTCGTTACTGTCAAGAGTATATAACACACTTCCGTTGACAAAAGAGGGTGAAGTATCCTAATTTTATCATTTTGAAAGAAAGAATCGAGAATTGCATAGCGTAGGTTTACAGCATTTTCCTAAAGAGCCTTTTGATCCGAACGAAGGTATGACTTCAAATACTTTTGTATGAAACGATTTGTTCTACGCGAATGAATTCATACATGAAAACGAGACAAAGAATCTATCGGAATCGTTGCCGCGGAACGAATGATCCTGAAAATGATTACAGAAGCACAAGGCAAGCTGATTTTTAACGAAACGAATACGCGGCAGATTTCTCCATATAAAAGCAATATAATGCTCGCGTTCGGCTCGATTAAACGTTTAAATTTACAACGAATCGAAGCGAAATCGGCAACAATTTTTCATCGCGTAGCCGGTTGGTTGGAACCGAGTTCGATGCTTAAATTCCTCCCGTGTGAATTGCGAAAATTTATCGAAGTCTGTGTTTTTATCGTTGTTAACGCATAATCCAGCGAAACGCTGTTCCACGTGATTTCATGCAATTATTTTGTAACGCGAGCATCGCGATGGAAACGGATAAAATGAAATCGCATCTCGGGGCAGAGACCTTACGCTTAGTTAATATACATCAATAAATGCATCAATAAAGCATTTTTGTCCTCATCGCGTTGTTCGTTTAAACTCTACCGTTGAATATCATATTATCAGCTATTGTTAAACAATTTTACAAATTTCTTTTCGTTTCCCATGAAATTTAAATAAAAAGGAAATTATTCGCTCACCATTTTTTTTGAAACAAGTTGCCATAGTAGGTTTCCCTTTTCGTTTCACTTTCTTTTTCTACATCCACCTACAACTGAAATCAAATCATAAATCAATAACTTTCTGAAAATGATATAAAATTTAAATAAAGATAGCTTATTATCTAAATCTACATAAATCATTTATCAAACATTATCAAACTTTGTTTGCAAAAGTCACACAAGAATCACCGCGGGAAAGGGGTTGATGCAAAGAACGAGTAGCACGAGATACAAGTTCTTGACTGGGGGTTGATTCTCGATCAAGGAAGGGTTGCAACGGTACGGTAGGCTCTTTCGAGGGGGTGGTGGAGAATCTACTTCGCCTCCGGTGCCTAGCGATAAGACGCGAAACGGACGCGAAGCGATGGAACGTTAAGCCAACCGAAGAGAACATGCCAGAGGGTAGAGGGTGAAATTTCCACGTACGAAGAACCGCGACGATATGGATTTTCACTCGAGACGAAAGAAGAGCATTCCCGTGGCCATAACAATGGCGTATTCAACTAGCCGTGTCTACCCGTTTACCTGTTTTCAACGTCACAGAGGAACGACGAAAGAATGAGGAACGAGCGAAGAGACACGCGTGGGAGAATGAGGGAATATAAGGCGGGCATGCTCTATCTCGGCTGACGTAGGCCAAGGAAGTCGGGTTAAGACTGTATCGTTATCTTCACCAGCGATAACGATAGAATGGCCATTGCGAAGGGTAGCTACTGTTGGTTAGGTACACAGAGGCCCTGTTCGATCCATCATTCGCCCGTTCGAGTGCGCATCTTGACGTGAAACTGCATGCGATCATGTGTGAGCATGTACGTGCGGGAAAAAGCCGAAGGGAAGTTGAAACCAACGGAATCAGGATAAACGAACGAACCTTGGTTACGTGTGTAAACTAATTATTCGATCACTTCTGCTTTTCCATGATGCAGTCGGTTTCTTTATATACTTTTTACATTTCTACAACCTACTGGGATTCATCGTTAGTCACTTAAGGAAAGATTGATGGTTTTGAAAAAGTTTAAGATCGAAATTATAGCGGGAAAAATATTTGATTGATCGAATCGCTGAAGCGGGATTCGAACCTGGATCGTCCACTTATCTGCTCTAACCACTAAGCTATCTTAAGCTTCCCTCTAAAACTAACAGAATCGAATATGCTTCGCCCAAAGTTTAAACTCTAAACTTCTAAACCCAAGCGATAGCTAAGAGCACGAGCTCTAAGAGTTAGAATCTAACGCCTTATGGTATTTTCTGTATTACTACACTGCAGTTTCGGTATCATCCTTCCCGTTTACCCTCGTTTTCACTGACCATCGGCTACGAGCACGATTCATCCAAGCTCTCCTCGATGTCTGGATAGGTGGGATAGTGGAAGAGCGGTTAGATTTCCTGCAAGTCGGCGCAGCACCGCCTCGTTCATCAAGCGTGTGATGAAGCTGCTGGGTTAGACGAGGGCCTGAACGCGAACCACGGCATAAGCTAACCGCTCGTCTTATCTCGAATCGCAACGTCTTGTTAGACTTCCACTCTGTTCCCTCATTCACCGTCCCTCGCTATATTCCTCGTCGTCCTTTCGTTCCATCGTTCTTCCAGTTTCTCTACCGGCGTGCTCAAAGGAGAGCCGAGAATATTTTTCGGGTCGAAGGTCTCCTGCCGTGGCATCCAAGCTCTTTTCCTCGGTCTCGCGTCTGTCGTGCGACCGACAGCGAAAAAAGAAAATAGAACGTGAGCATTCGATAACGAGGCTGCCGGCCCAGTTTCTACTCCTTCCAGAGGAAAATCTCCCGCGTCTACGTAGGCAGAGGCGAATTTTTCCGCTGCATTTTCTTGACCTCGTTTTCAGCCGTATAAAGCGGAAGGGATCAGTTGCGACAACTTTCAGAGATTCTGGCTATTTCTTTGTCACTTCTATCCTTCCTTTTCCTGTTTCTTTTTATTTTCTTTCCTTTCTTTCCCTCTCTTTTGTTTTTTCATTACGCGTTGACTGAGCTCGGCTTCGTTACTGCTCGTTTGCACCCTTATTATACACCATGTTTCTGGTTTTTCTGCTTGCATTTCTGTGCCATGATTCACGAATAAAAATGTACAGAAGATGTTGAATAAAATTTATGTTTCTAGTATCATGTTTTTTATTTAATGTGCACCTAGGAGACGCTTTCGAAAATCTACCCGTATCAATTACCACCGCAATTAGATCAAACTAGTTTAGGAATGGCTAATTTCTTGAAGGAATCGTAAACAGGGATGTTGTATTGTTTGAGATGTTTAAGCTGGTTTAACAATACGTACGACACTTTGGTTTCTGTATATTTTGCACTAATTGTAAGATGGCAAATTGTGTCGTCTGTTCAAGCACCTCAAACAACGTACTCTCCTCCTTGTTTGTTTAGGTTACAACTTGTCACATTGTTATGACGCCTCTTCCTTGTACTAGTGATTTTTCAATTTTCATGTGAAAGAGATTCTTCTTGTCAGTTTGAACCTCATCATATTTCACATTACAAACATTTTCTCAGATGATTAGCAATGCACTGGAACCGAGAGATTGGCAGTGGAACTACCTAATTTGCGGGATTTAGTATGCAAAGCATGCAGGTTACAGATTCACATGAGTAATACTAAATTTGCCCTATCAAATATTTGCACATCATCAACTCTTTGATGTCTGACCTGACTTCGCATCATATCCTTTCGCTTATCGCGGCTGAAACGAGCTGATTCCCGCTGGAAATCATTAAAAACGAACCTCTGAATTTCGGTAGGGTTTACGTTGACGTTGCACCCTGAAGAGTGATACGGATTATTTGATGAAAATACCAATATATTTTTTTTAATTCTCCAAATGTACAGTAGCTGCTTTATACGAATTGAAACTGAAAATTTACCAACTAATTAGGAAGAAGCGTAATATCTGTAACGTGGATTTTGAAAATTCACCCGAACACGTTTCGAAAATTCTTGTTCAACGATGAAATGAACAATTAGATTCTGCTAGGGTATTTTCACCCCCTTTTCTCGCTGCACGCAGACCGAGCAATAACCATTTGCGAGTCGGCAACCAGTTACGACAACGCGTTCATGTAATTCCCAGAAGTTTCAGAGAACACCGGTTGCCACTGGTACGTTAGAGTTTTCGGAAAAAATTACAAGAAAAAGCTGGAGAAGAACGCTTCGTTTCGCGCCGTTATGCTACCGCGTAGTACTCTTTCTTCTCCGCAACGCATCGCGTTTTCATATTCGCACATGCTCTCTATTTTCCTCGAATTACGGAACCGCGTTCTGCGATTCCAACGAATTATTCGGAACAGAGAATAGCAAGGTAAGAATTAGTCTTGTGAAAAATTCAAATATCCAAGGAATTATTCATCTGCCTTTCGTTCCGTTTAAATGATTCACCCTGTACAGCGGGAGCTTATAGACACGTTTTACTCTATTTCGTGAAGTCGGGTCAAATCTTAACGTTGAAAGCTCGAGGAAGAAACGAGAATTTCGAATTTGCCGGAGGATCGACTCTTTCAGTCGTCGAAAGAGAGAATTCTCCTCTTTCACCCTTCGGGGGTGCCAAAATTGCTTCTACCGTCGAGGCACGACTAGCCGGAAACGAGTCTCGAAAACGTGCCCGGGGATATTTCTCGCGGGGTAATTTAAACGGGAGTAAATGAAATGTAATGCACTCTTTCTGCAACTCTTCCGCGGAAACAAACAAAATTTACATACCCCTTCTGGATTTCCTCTGAAACATTCAACCTTTTCTAGAACGGCCGAATTGAATAATAAGTTTGCTTAATATTTTTGCGCGATATTCACCTATTTGCATAAAAGTTTCCATGAAACATAATAAACTATTTCGATGAAACACAGTTTGGTAATTAGTACGTAACAGGTAAAATCTCGATTTTCAAACACATTATTCAAAATTATTTTAGTGAAGAATAATCATTAATAGTTAGAAAGTTGGTTTCAACGTACGATCAATCGAAAAACGCGAGCCTCGAGTTGCAATTTTAATTTGCCCGCAATTCGAGTTGAATGTGCATCGAGGTTGCAAAAAAAAGGCCGCAAAACAATCGCGCCGAATATTAGGAAGCACACAGCGATAATAATTAACTGGAACTTAAACAACGCGTTGAATTTTCAACTCGCCAGTATTCTGGCCGAAAGTTGTTGCAGGCGTTTCCGGTTTCATTTCGGGGGAAAACTTCTCGCTCGGCTGCAGGATATCGCGTAACACAGAGAGAGAAAGAGAAGCCTTCTAATCTCGCACACCTGCACCCTTCATAACTTCCTCATCCGATCAATTCTCGATAATCCGGGAAAATGAAAACACGAACATCGAGGAAGAAGCGAACGAGGAAGAAAGGAAAAGAAGGAACCATCATCTCGGCTCTCTTTCTCGCTTTTCCGCCACTTTTCCAAGCATGAACGGAATTTATGGAGTCGAGCTTCGTCGTAAATCCAAGGAGCGCTAAACGTCCACGGCATGCTGCGTGAAAATTAATCTTGTTTGCGATTAGTATCGCAGAATGAAGAGGATCGACGGATTGTTCCCCTTAATCTTCCTTATCCCACCGATGCAACAATTTGTAACACCTCTATAGTCATTACACAGGATGCCATTATTATCGTCGACAAAAATTAGTCGCAATTTTGTTCCGCTTTCTTTATATTGCAGTGATTGAACGTTGCAATAAAATTGCACTAACTGCAATAATTTTGAAACAGTAATTCTAGAATGGTGAATGAGAAGAGGTAGATGGGATAAAACGCCACGAAACACGGAGAAACTGTACCCCAGCGTAGTAATATAAACGAGAGGATTATCGACCAAGTGCACTTTTTTTATTTTCTTCCTCCTCGTTCTTCTTCTAGCCTGCAGCTTATCTGGCTAAGTTTTTCGCAAACTTTTCCAAAGATTCTCTTTCGTATCGCGAATGTCTCGTAGTCGTGTTATTCTTTTTCTCTCGTTGCTCTTTTCCTCGCCGGATCGACAGTATTAATTGTTTCTCTTGTAAACTGAAAGATTATACGATATATTCTGTAAAATTACTAATTTCTA